ACCCCACCAGTGCACAAACCAGTCGAATGGTCACTTAGGCTTTTATATATAGAGATTTTTGAATGATTTTCCCTAATATGGATCTTATGGAAGTAGAATACTCTCTAAAAAAGTAAAACTTCACATATCTTTATTTTCTAAAAATTTAGTGCCTTCCCTTTGTACTTACCTTCACACTCCCTCCCTCGCCTGGCCTCACTCCGAATTTCTGTGTTTCCTTTGCTCCTTGCCACAGCTCAGGTGAGCTAAAGCTCAACTGCCTTCACCATATTCCCATGATCAGCAGGTTTGAAAGACTAAGTATCTTCTCTGGGAAAGGGTTTTCAATAAATCATCACTTGAATATATTTATAAACAGTTTCCTTTTTATTTTATAAAACTATTTTTTACTTTTTTATTTAAATAACAAAATGGCAATGTAACCCATAAAGATGGGCTGTTTTCCTCTTCAGAAGAAATACAGGACTAATAACTTCTTTTTTTTATATTTATAGCATTCTTTCCCTTCATCAATACAACATTTTTCTTTTCTTCTATTTTCCTGCTTTTCCAGTTTCAGCTTAATCCTTCTACGTAAAGTTATTGTAGTAATTTCTAAAAGCATTTCTTTCAGTTATGAGGTGTTTTGGGATTTTCAAGAGGGGTTAGGATTAGTGCCTTTTTCTCAGGGAAATATGGGCTTCTCCAGCCACATCATCTAAGAAAAAAAAGGGAACAATGGTTACAAATGATAGCTATTTTTTTTTAATAAGCTTCTTGCATGAATGTAACCCAGTATCTCTCGGGTCATTTAATCTTTTACTAGTTCAGGATCTATGTGATAGCCTCCCTAAATTTTTTGAATTAGCAAGGTAACTATTCTCCATGTGATTACCAAGAGCTTGACTAGATGCATGGATGAACATCGCCTTGTTAGTAAGGAAGAATTTCTACACAGATTCTTGTTTTTTCACCAAAGCTTTTGTTCCCTTGAGGAGAGTTCATAGTTCATTCACCTATGGGAATGGCCTCTGTAATCCTAGTTATCTCCATAGTCATCCTCTAGATACTACATCCCTGCAGATTAAGTACAGAATGGAAATTCACTAGATGTTGTGAAAAGAGGACCAGGCTTTTTAAGATTCTACATGTAAGTGAAATCATTCAGTGTCTGGCTTATTTCACTTAGCATAACACCAGGTTCAAACAGGTTGTTTCAAAAGACAGGATCTTCTATCATCTATCTATCTATCTATCTATCTATCTATCTATCTATCTATCTATCTATCTATCATCTATCTCTCTATCATCTATCTAGCTGTCATCTATCTCATATTTTTATACATTTAAGAGTAGAATGGTGTTTACTGGATGGGGGAGAGGTAAGGGAAATAAGGGTATGTTGGTCACAAGGTACAAATTGCAGTTATGTATGATGAGATGTAATGTACAGAATTATGACTAAGATAACAATACCATATTAAATACTGAAAATTTGCTATGAGATTGGATTTCAGATGTTTTCATCACAGAAAAAAGTGGGAACTATGTGAAAAGATGTTAATTAGCTTGTACTCATTAGGTAGTACTCATTGCATTATGTATATGTGTATCGAATTAGTGTGCTATACATCTGAAATATATACAATTTTTAATTTAAAAAAAACAGCAAAGAGAGAGAGAGAGAGAGAGAGAGAGAGGAGTAGGCTTGCATCCATAAATTTAAGAGGTGTAGATGGGTGAATGTAGGATGAACTAAAACCCTCTTGACTAACTGATACAGATGCTTTAAGAGTAAGCACTCATATATACAGAGGGTTACTAGAGGGAAGTGGGTGGGAGGGTTGATAGTCAAGAGTAAAGGAGGTTAAATATATGGTGAAGGAAGATTATTTGACTTTGGGTGGTGGGCACACAAAGCAATATACAGATCATGTATCATAGAAATGTACACTTGAAACCTATATAATCTTATAAATAAAACTTAAGCTTTAAAAAAAGAATAAGCACTGGTTTGGAATAGCTATCCTTCTCTAAATGGAAGCCTTGGAAAGAAATGCCCTAACTCAGTCTCCATGGATGGCTTATCTCCCCAAGAAATCCCTTAAAACATAATTCCTTGCTCTGGCTTTTATTGGCATAATTCCAAGCTTTTCTTAGAGAATGTGACAGGGCATTCTTAAATATTTATGGAAGATTCAGTCAAATTTTATTAAGAATCTGGAATGTGCTGGGTGAACCTCATTTTAGATACAATATATAAAGAAAGATAAGTTCCTTAAAAGTTTGCACTTATGGTGCTCAAATTCTAGCTGACTTTGGTAGTATGACAATAGCAACATATAATCAACATTTAATCCTGCCAATTGCATCTCCTAAATATTTTCTATACAAACAATTCACTTCTCTAAATAGCTGTTGCTACGTCTTTAATTTAAGCCATATCATCCCCACCGCCCCCACCATAATCCCACTTAAATTTATTTGTGTAGCAACCAGAGTGACATTTCTAAATTGCAAATCTTAAGCTATTATTTAGATTTTTTTTCCTAAAATATATTGGAAGCTGTTAAAATCAAGTTTTCTTACTGTAGACTACATTTCTGGGCCTTTGACTATCTCTTTATTTTGTCCTTGTGTTTTGATCAGTCACAGGTCTTCTCCAGTTCCTAGAAACTCTTCCCTGCCATGAGGCCTTCTCATTTGCTCTTCTCTATTTCCAAAATGCTTCTCTCCTACTTTATTATTTTAATATGTATTTTCATTGAAATTATTGAGGTAGTATTGGTTAACAAATTATATATGTTTCAAATATACAACTCTATAACACATCATCTGTATATTGTATTGTTTGTTCACCACCCAAAGTCAAGTGTCCTTCCATCACCATTTATCTTCCCTTTACCCTCTTCTATCTCCCCCAACTCCTTTCCCTCTGGTACTCACTATACTGTTGTCTGTCTTCTTTTTTTTCTCTTAATTCCTTTATGAATGAATTTCACCCAGCATCTCAACTCCCCTCCCCTCTGACAGCTGTCAGTCTGTTTTCTGTATCTATGAATTTGTTTTTAGTTTGTTTATATATTTCATTCATTCAATTCCACATATAAGTGAAATTACATGGTAAATACAGCCTTTGTTTTCTTCTAGGAGTCTTATGTCTTTCTCTGACTGGCTTATTTGACTCTCTAGGTCCATCCATGCTGTCTCAAAAGGTATGATTTCCTTTTTTTTTTACAGCTAAGTAGTATTCCATTGTGTAAATGTACCACAACTTTTTTATACACTCATCTACTGATGGGCACTTGGGTTTCCAACTTTTTTTGCTACACCAGTCTGCATTCCCACCTAAAGTTCACAAGGGTTCCCTTTTCTCCACATCCTTGCCAACACTTCTTGTTTGCTGATTTATTGATGATAGGCATTCTGACAGGTGTGAGGTGGTATCTCCTTGTGTTTTCAATTTGCGTTTCACTGATGATTAGTGACATTGAGTATTATTTCATATTTTTACTGGATGAGGGCTGGGCCAGGAGCGGGCCTGCCTCAGGCCAACCTGTAGTGTGTGGATTCTTGATTTTGTGCAGGAGAGATTTCACAACACAAGTCCAGGTGATTTTGACAGTTAAGTTTATTAAAGCTAGGGGTAGTACAACAAAGGAAGGACTTAGGGTAGAAGAAGTAACAGGAGAGAGACTAGGTGGTACCTTGCTTTGGCTCTTTAGAAATGTTATAGGAAAGAAGTGATCCAAGGTGGGGCTGCTGTTGACTACTGGGAAGTAAAAGTCACAGTGACAGAAGTGAGCTAAAGTGGGGCTGCTTTTAGTTCACTGAAAAGTCAGAGAAAATGGGGGTCCTCCATTGTGTAAATGTACCACAACTTTTTTATCCACTCATCTACTGATGGGCACTTGGGTTGCTTCCAACTTTTGCTACACCAGTCTGCATTCCCACCTAAAGTTCACAAGGGTTCCCTTTTCTCCACATCCTTGCCAACACTTCTTGTTTGCTGATTTATTGATGATAGGCATTCTGACGGGTGTGAGGTGGTATCTCCTTGTGTTTTCAATTTGCGTTTCACTGATGATTAGTGACATTGAGTATTATTTCATATTTTTACTGGATGAGGGCTGGGCCAGGAGCGGGCCTGCCTCAGGCCAACCTGTAGTGTGTGGATTCTTGATTTTGTGCAGGAGAGATTTCACAACACAAGTCCAGGTGATTTTGACAGTTAAGTTTATTAAAGCTAGGGGTAGTACAACAAAGGAAGGACTTAGGGTAGAAGAAGTAACAGGAGAGAGACTAGGTGGTACCTTGCTTTGGCTCTTTAGAAATGTTATAGGAAAGAAGTGATCCAAGGTGGGGCTGCTGTTGACTACTGTGAAGTAAAAGTCACAGTGACAGAAGTGAGCTAAAATGGGGCTGCTTTTTGTTCACTGGAAAGTCAGAGAAAATGGGGGTTGGAGACAGGTTCAGGAGGTAAGCCCAGGCTGAGCTGTTGCTGCCTGCTGCTTCCGTGGTTGCAAGTTTCATGGTAAACCTTAGAGTTTAGAAGTAAGAAAGTAAAATTTCATGCCAGAGAAAAGGCATGGGTATGCTCCAGAGTGAACCCATGCTGGTATCCTTTGTTTTGAGAGTTTTTATCTTTCTGCAGGCAAGAATCTTAGGGGAGGGTTTCATCAGAATATCCAGCAGCTTTCCAGGTTCATTTTCAATATGCTGATGCATCAAAAGGACCATATAGGGAAGCTTGGGATTATTCTCTGCTCAGCTTCAGTACTTTATTTTTATCTTGGGTCTGTCTGGCTCTAGTTGGTTTTTTTTAATTTTAAGTACAACAAAGGAAGGACTTAGGGTAGAAGAAGTAACAGGAGAGAGACTAGGTGGTACCTTGCTTTGGCTCTTTAGAAATGTTATAGGAAAGAAGTGATCCAAGGTGGGGCTGCTGTTGACTACTGTGAAGTAAAAGTCACAGTGACAGAAGTGAGCTAAAATGGGGCTGCTTTTTGTTCACTGGAAAGTCAGAGAAAATGGGGGTTGGAGACAGGTTCAGGAGGTAAGCCCAGGCTGAGCTGTTGCTGCCTGCTGCTTCCGTGGTTGCAAGTTTCATGGTAAACCTTAGAGTTTAGAAGTAAGAAAGTAAAATTTCATGCCAGAGAAAAGGCATGGGTATGCTCCAGAGTGAACCCATGCTGGTATCCTTTGTTTTGAGAGTTTTTATCTTTCTGCAGGCAAGAATCTTAGGGGAGGGTTTCATCAGAATATCCAGCAGCTTTCCAGGTTCATTTTCAATATGCTGATGCATCAAAAGGACCGTATAGGGAAGCTTGGGATTATTCTCTGCTCAGCTCAGTGCTTTATTTTTATCTTGGGTCTGTCTGGCTCTAGTTGGGTTTTTGTTATTTGTTCCCCTGACTTCATCCGTTCTTGGTTTGGCTGGATAAATGACTAATTTCGTCTCTGTTCTCTATCTCCCTGACCAGCGTGGTTAGTCTCTGGTCAGGGAGGAGAGGTATATGCTATTTGTTCTCAAATGTTCTTGGTTGGGGAAGATAAGGTCTTATGATTCCCTTGCTGATTATAAATCGGTTAAATTGTTTGGACTTAATAAACATATTCAAACTCTTCACAGACTTGAGAGGCTGGGGAGAGTCTAATAATGCCTAAAGCAACTAATTTTAAAAATAAATACATTTTTTTTTCCTCCAAAGAACCACCCCACCAAAAAAAAATGATAGAGGTCTGAGTATACACATCAGCCACATGGAAAAATCAATCAAAAACAGAATCTGTGGGTATGTGGAGAGAAACAATGAAGGAACTTAATCCCTCTTGAGATGCTTCTCAAAAGAAAAATCTGGCAACACACATGGTAAATACAAGTAGGAGACCAGAGTATGGCTGTTCCAGATGTGAAGAGACTGGGATGCAAATGGGTAAGTGGACAATTGTCTTTTGGAAGACTCATTAGGATGAGCTGAAGCTGCCTTTCCAGCGTCTCACACTTACCTTGACTTGAGCATGGGCCCATCGCACCACCAGCTTCTTAGACAGAGCCAGCTTGCCATTGAGACACTGGATGGCTTGTTCTGCTTCCTGCTTGGTTTGAAAGTTAATGAAACAGTACCCTCTGGGCTGTCCCTCCAAAGCACCTGACTTGTGGAAAAGGAAGTCGAACTGCTTTACTGTGCCAAACTTCTGGAGGAGCTTCAGGTGGTATTCTGTGATTTTGGGGTCCAGATTGCCAATCCATAACCGGTGCCCTTCCTGTAGGGAACCCTCTGACAGGATGGATGCGTTCTCCAGGGGAAGAGTTTTGGTTTCTGCTTCCATCAATCTCTGTTAAATACTCTTGGCGTCTTCCCCTCGGCTCATGCCCCTAGAGTAGGTCCCTACCCCACGGCCCACCACGCTCCAGACGCCTCCGTCTCGACGTTACCTGCCGCCAGGCCGCAGGTGACGCACTACCCATTTGCCCACTTTTTAATTGGATTGTTATTTTCCCCCCCTGTTTTTGTTTTTGATGTTAAATTGCATAATTTTTTATGTGTTTTGGATATTAACCCTTTAGCAGTTGTATTATTGGTAAATAAGTTCTGCCATTTAGTGCGTTGTCTTTTCATTTTGTTGATGGTTTCCTTTACTGTATAAAACCTTTTTAGTTTGATTTAGTCCCATTTGTATATTTTTCTCTTTTGTTTCCCCTGACCAAGGAGATATATCAGAAAAATATTGCTATGAAGAATGTCCAAGATTTTACTGCCTTTGTTTTCTTCTAGGAGACTTATGTTTTCAAATCTTACATTTAAGTCTTTAATCCATTTTGCCTTTATTCTTGTGTATTCTGTAAGGAGGTGGTCTAGTTTCATTTTTTTGCATGTATCTGTCCAATTTTCCCAACATCATTTATTGAATAGACTGTCTCTATCCCATTGTATGTTCTTGCCTCCTTTGTCAAATATTAATTGACCATAAAGGGATGTTTTTTTTTCTGGGCTCTCTATTCTGTTCCTTTGATCTTTATGTCTGTATTTATGCTAGTAGCTACTGTGGAAAACAGTATGGAGTTTCCTTAGGGAAGGAGGTTGCGGGTAGGCAGATGAGAGTAAAGAGGGAGTAAATGGTGATGGAAGGAGACTTGACTTAGGGTGGTAAGCACACAATATATTATACAGATGATGTGATATAAAATTGTATACTTGAAATCTATATAATTTTATTAACCAATGCCACCCCAATAAATTTAATTTTAAAAATAAAAGTTTTATAGAAAAAAAAGTAAATAAAAATAAATAAATAATGGAACAGCCTCATGACCCAGCTATTCCACTTCTGGAAATATATCTAAAGAAATGTAAAACATTGATTTGAAATAATATATACATCCCTATGTTCATTGGAGTGTTATTTATAACTAGAGGCCCGGCAAAAATTTGTTTGTGCACTTGGGGGGGGGGTCCCTCAGCCTGTCCTGTGCCCTCTCGCAGTCTGG